CTTGACTTGGATTCGACTCGGACTTTGCCTATTTTGACTTGAGACTTGATTCGGACTTGAGTGCAAAGACTTGAGACTTGCTTGTGACTTGCAAAGCAATGACTTGGTCCCACCTCTGGTATCTTGTGCATATCCACAAACCAGAGGTATTAGAATTTTGCAAAGCTACCTTGTGTATAATAATAATAAACATAACAATGACAAAAAAAACAATAACCGATAACAAAAACACGGTAGGCATTAAACCCACCTTTCAGTTACAGCAGGCAATATGAAGAACATCCACAGATGAATTCCAAACACAAGAATTACCTAGTGGACAAAAGGAAAGATGTGTTTTAGGTTTAGGTTTTGGGTTTAACAAGGTTGTCTAGCTACAAACATTTTTAAAAAAAATTGCATTAGACTTAGTCTTAAAAGGAAAAATCTCTCTACATCTGTTTGAACTCTCACTCGTCCATCAATATTAAAATGGCTACTTAAATATCTGGAGAGAATAGTCGCACCTGGAAGATGAGTTTTCCTAGGACAGTTTTGCGCAGGTACAAGGCTCTGTCGATAATCATGGTGCTGAACTGAATGAGCAACATCACCAGAAAGGCCTCGGGAACCTGATCCTCTGACAGAGAGGAGGCGATATCAGCGGCTGCACTGTGTTTCTGAGAGGATGAAAGGAATCACCATCAATATCGGTTCAATAAAGCTGATCGGTTCTGACGATGCACTGAAAGCTCAGTGGATATGCGCTTGTCTACTTTCACCTTAGGCTGAATTGTCCAGCCCAGATCCCCTAAGCTGTGCATCTCGCAATCATTCACACCATGACGGCACATGTGAAATTGAAAATGTGTTTATTTAGTGGGCTATTTCTATCTAATACATACTCTGCTGCTCAGAATGGACCACAGATGATGGGTGACTTATGAGAGGCATTTATCTATCTCACTATTATTTTTACAATAATTTTTTTTTTTTACGGCTCTGACTTCTAAGTATGCACGGCAGAATTTAATTTCTAATTAAAATCGAATTGGAATTAGAACCTTTGTTTGAACAAACTACAAGTTAAAAAGGCATGGGAAATGATCCTTTTTGTCAAAATATATTGAACAATGACACTGATTACTGTGTGCGTATCCTAAAATATATATAAAAGGGCTACTGTCCTTATATATACATATGTTTATATTTATATATTTCTGTGCATATATAAACATATAATATAGACTGTATTAACTTTTTACACACACATTATATGCACAGTAGAGTTGTGTAATGGAAATAGAAGATATGCATATTATGTAAATAAGTTAAATACACGACCATGAAATACAATGTAAAATACAGACGAGGGGAGATGCTGAGAGATGCTACAATGCGCGAGCCAATCAGCATGAGGAACACAATGCCGTGTTTGATCCCCAAACAAAGGTCAACAAAGCTACCAGTGATGTCTTTTGGTTTATTTTTGCTATATTTTCACTGTTCATTTTTTGGTTAGAAAATTTTTTTTTATCACAAAAACAATGAAAATATTGTAAATATTTACTGTAAAACTCTTGTGAGATTGGAATAAAAAGAAATCTGCGACGTACCGAGGGAGCGAAAGGACAACCGCAATATAAAGAGGGAACTGCTGTGTCAGTTTAAATAGAAAGTTGAATCAATTATTTAATCTATGTCTTACTCCAAATGCCCAGAAGCCAAAGATGATGACGATGAAGTCTATGACATCAGTCAGAAACATTAGGGCATAAACATCAGTGGCAGCCCGATATTCAGCATGGAGGATGTCCCTGAAGAAGTCCTGAGTTGGCCTGTAAACTTTCTGAATCCTGCAGAGGAAAAACAGCCAGTGTCCACTGTGTAAGTATCCATTTTAGGTAATGTTTCAACACTTACGAAGGTTATTAATCGAAAGTAATTAAATCAGTGGTTCTCAATTATTTTCTGGCATGCCCCCTTGGGGACAGAAATATTTTTACGGCCCCCCTTCCACCAACCCACACCCCAACGAATTGAAATAATTGCAAAATAGAACCTGATAACATGTACCGGTACATTTCTATCTGAACAAACTACTGTATGAGTTGCTGCCACCTAGTGACTGGAGGCTTGTTATCATTCAAGCATTACAGCAGTAGTACACTAGTACACAGTGAGCTATATTCCATTGGAAGCCCCTCATGCCCCCTCTCGGCACCGCACTGCGCCCCCCCCTGGGGGGGCCCAGGGGGTGCAAGTCCCACCAATTGAAAGTACTGAGTTAATTATTCAGTTTGGTTTGATCAACCACATTTTCTTTTCTTTTTTTTTTCAGTTTGGTCACTAAGCTTTGATTCATCCTTCTTATTATACGTCTGGAACAAAATAAAATAAATACCAGATTGAATCATTTGATCTAATACTACAGTATGTGCAGGTTGTTCAGATTTTGATTTATAGTTTTTATTGGACTGTAGAAAATCTTAAGAATCTAAAATGTGCCTTTTAGGACTGTCTCTGTCAGACACGATGTAGTGATGAATTATACTGCGGTAGTTGACTCACCCAGAGATGAGAGTGTGTTTGATCTTACGCCCCACAGCCATCAGTCTCTGACTGGCAGCTTCTCCCCTCCTGCCTTTCTGTTTCTTTTCCTTCTTTTTCTCTGCGTCTGCCTCTGAGCCATCGGCTGTGCCATTCAATGGAACAGGCTGAACTAAAAGCAGCGAGGAGTAGCCAGAAAAAAAAACAATTAGACATCAACTTGCAAATTGCATCGACTGATCATATGCACTGTAGAACGCTGAGAAAACTGACAACTACTCGGGTTATAAAACACTACAGCATGTGCAGTTTACCAGAGGTGGGACCAAGTCATTGCTTTGCAAGTCACAAGTAAGTCTCAAGTCTTTGCACTCAAGTCCGAGTCAAGTCTCAAGTCAAGACAGGCAAAGTCCGAGTCGAGTCCAAGTCAAGACTGAAAAGTGTCAAGTCAAGTCCCAAGTCCTGCCGTTTCTGTTTCGAGTCCTTTCTAGTCCTTTTCAAACAAAATAACAATATATTTACACAGATCACTTTGGGTTTTGGAGAAAGTATCAAGTCTCGTCGAGTCAAAGGGCTCGAGTCCAAGTGAAGTCACGAGTCACTGATGTTAAAGTCCAAGTCGAGTGGCAAGTCTCTTTACATTTTGTCAAGTCGAGACTAAAGTCATCAAATTGATGACTCGAGTCTGACACATTTTTTCCTCGAATCGATGATTCAATGCCTACTTTCCTATTCAAACAACAAATTATTTACACAAACCTTTGCTGCTCTCTTTTTTGGGTCGTTTGGATTTTCTGCGAAAACGAATTTCACTGCTTTTCTTTGGAACTTCCTTCTTCATCGGTTCACTTTTTCCCTCCCTCTGATCCTCCATTGGCATGCTGGGAAAACTTAGAATGTTCTGTTCCTCTATTGACCCCATAGGTGCTGGTGCGGTGTCAGGGGATGGCGCCGTTTCAGAAACAAGGCTGACACCCGGGTCAACATTGTTTGCATTAACCTGCAGTGGTTTGAAAATAGTCCAGTCTCATTTACCATGACGGTACAGCCTTTGTTAGTAGTCATATAAGAAGTATAGTTACTACCCACCATCTCAAGTCCATCCTCTTCAGGCATTTCAAGGTTGTCCAGGGTGGATGAAGATGTAATCCTGCCCTCTACTTGCTCTTCATTTTCTCCTCCTGTCCTTTCAGGATTATCTTCTTCATTAGATTTCCCTTCATCTTTGCAGCTTTCCGATAAAGGAGTCTCCTCCTCAAGGGGGCCCTCATGGTCCCAGAGACCATAACGCTGTGTCAAAATAGATGTTGGCTAATCAGGTTTTTTCAAAGAGAAAACAAACAACAAAAAAACAGCACAAATAACCCTCACTTAACTTGTTGTTCTGTACTCTTTATAAACAGAAACTCACCATTAGCAGGGACCTGTGGAAGAAGAGGGCTAGCAGCTGAAGAAGGTCATATTTAATGTAGTTGTCTGTCTTCTCCAGACCCAGGATGCGAGGTGGGAAGAAAGGTTTATCTTCATTTAGAGTCATCTCGTAAACACTGTTCCAGGGGAAGAATCCAAACTGGAAAAGGTATTTCACCACCACCATCACCTGGAACAACCGCAGACAGAGCAATAAGCCTACTCAATCAGGCCACCGTTCCACCGAGTAATGCATTCCTAATAATGTATAATATCACTATAATTTCTTACTCTTTTTTCCCCAGGGATCGGCACAGCAGATCATCTGCCTTCATCTCACCCTATCCACTGCCTCCTCTTCTTTGAACCACTCAAATCTCCAACATCCATGAATCTCTTGTGAGGTCTTCCTTCCCTTTCTTTCCTAGCAACTCCATCTCTAACATCCTTTGTCCAGTATCCTCAACACATAAACCAAACCATCTCAACCTCACCTCTTCAACTTTATTTCCAAGCTGCTAACTGTCCCTCTGATCTGCACAATTCTTAAAAAAAACCTGTAATTTCCGGACTATTGAGCCCATCTGAATATAAGCCACAAATTTAAAGAGAAATTAATAATTGTACATATAAAGGGCCGCACTTCTCTATAAGCCACACGTGTCCATGTTGTAACATGGTATATTTCCACAGAAATATTTTCTTTTCATTTATAACTAATTAATTTAAATAAATGTTTTTTTTCTTCTGAACAGTGCCTGTAACATGGCTGGTTACATGTTAGCTCTTTCTCCTGCTTCGGAGCCCCGACCGTAGTTGGAATGTTCAGGGGAGACTTAGTGATCTGCTAAGTCTCCCCGCAGCCAACATCTTTGAAGCTAGGGCCGAAGCTAACATTAGCTCCAGGGCTAACTCCCTTCACTTTGTGCTTGTCCGCAGCAGAGGTAAACAGAAATAAGGAAGTTTGGGTCTTTATTATCAGCCACACCGAGCACAACAGAACATAAACAGCGTTTTAACTCCTGTATAACCAACAAACTGCTCACAACTTTCGCTACCGCTCTCTTTCTCGCGCGTCCCCTACGGACAAATACGCACACAGCCATTCACAGACAGACATATGCTACTAGTATAACACACAGTGGCCCACCAGAAAAGTCATTAATTGCTAGTGGTATCAACTTCGTTAGTCCCTAAAAATCCAGAAATTAGCCGCATCATTGTTTAAGCCGCAGGGTTCAAAGTGTGTGAAAGAAGTAGCGGCTTATAGTCCAGAAATTATGCAAACATAAAAAAACCAGAAAGCAATACAGAAATCCCATAACCAAACAGCCAATGAATATAAGAATTCAAGATAAATTAATACAGACAGAGTGGTAGTGACTATAATAACAATTACCATGAATTATATTTTAATAGATAGATAGACAGACAGACAGAAAGATGGAAAATCCCTCAGGAGTTCCCGCAGGGAAATTAAGGCTCCAGCAGCAGCAGCATTATAAGAAAGGCAGAGGTAAGACTGCTGTAATCACATCAATACTGCCAATCTACAAGACTTCCTCCTATTAGGAGGTCATGGAAGGTTTCGGAAGGTTTAGTAATATAATTTAGAAAGGGAGACCAGATCTTTAAAAATGCTTCTCTTTTCTTTTCATCATTGATCTGCTCATCTCTAATCTGTCCAACCTGGTCCCTACCAGTGAAACTCTCAGCTTTTTCATCTCTGTCTTTTTGTCTATTAGACTGTTTCTAAACCACACATCATAGCAGGTCTCACTATTGTCTTACAAATCCTCCCTTTCGGGTTGACCCTAGATATGTTTGGGCACTCACCATTACTACTTCTACGCCTTACATTATTTATCACCATCCATCCATCCATCCATTTTCATCCGCTTATCCGTTACCGGGTCGAGGGGGCAGCAGTCTCCATGACCGCCACCCAAATCACATTGCATCGTACCAACCCCCCTGAACCTTCCTGCGGGAGGTGAGTCCGCTAGAAGGTACCAACTGCCCTAACTGGGATTCAATCTTGCCCAAGAGGTGAACCCTGGAGTTCCACACCAATGACAGAGACATTGCCTCTGGGCCAAAGCGCCATTATTCTTTATCACAATAATAAAAATAAATTTGTCCTATATTGATCCCATATTTGGGAAATTGTTGTGTTAGCAGCATATATGCTGTTAACAGGCGGCAGCCTAGCAAGCACCAAGCATGGGGTTCCTCTGGGAATCGAACCCAGGACTCTCTGCTATCTGCTTCCGAGGCAGGCATGCTAACTGCTACACTATAGAACCTATAGTGGTTCTCTATTATTATCTGTCATTAAAGCTTGTGCAATCAAGATGGCCCCTGCCAATGAGGAGGTGATTGGAAATTTCTGATCGATCACGGTCTGCTTGTGACGTCAAATCTGACTACCCTCTACTCAAAACACTAGCGAGAGTGGGCTACAATGTCAACATGAGCTTAGCAAGAAATCAGTGTAACGTAAGCTGTAATCACAAGCACAGCTACCGTTGCCACAATTGTAGATTGTTAGCTTTAAATGAACTTGCTAGCATTAGCTGAGCTGGCTTATTTGACCAATACTTGTCATGAGCAAAGTTGACACTGCGTCTCACATAAATGTACAATTACGGGGTACCTCAGCATTCATGCTTTTAAGTAAAACACTTCTAAGTGTACTATGTAATGCAAAACGTTAGCTGAGCAGCTAAAGCAAGTGAAGAGTTTCGTATCCAGGCCAGGGAAGTTGACAAGCTAAAGCTAATGCTAATTCAAACCTGACCATCAATGCACGACTGTTAAAAACAAAACTATTGCGCAAACAAACGTCAGCTCTGAGGCTACATGCCCCTCCGTTATCTCACCTGGGAGTACGGTTTGAGTTCCTTCTCACTTCCTCATCCACAGGGCCGGTGACAGGAGCCCCGGGCCCTGCGGACAGCCGCTCGAGG